CCACTCACCTCAGCCTCCCAAAGGCGCGGGATTTCAGGCTGAGCCACCGAGCCCAGCTAGTTTTTTTTTTTTAAGTCGGGGTATCATATTGTCACCTAGGCTAGAGTGGCAGTGGCAGGATCATGACTCACTGCAGCCTTGATCTCCTAGGCTCGGACAATCCTTCCCCCTCAGCCTCCCAAGTAGCTGGAACTACAGGTGCATGCCACCATGCCCAGCTGTTTTTGATTTTTTTGTAGAGACAAAATCTCACTATGTTGCCCAGGCTGGTCTCAAATTCTTGGGATCAAGCAATCTTCCCACTTCAGCCTCCCAAAGTGCTGGGATTACAGGCCTGGCCTAGATTCATTCTTTCATATATTAAGTGCACCAACTACTGACACATTACCTAGCTCAGGCGATCCTTCCAACTCAACCTCCCAAGTAGCTCAGGGTTTACATTCAGTAAAAATTTGCTGAATGATCGAACTATGCTCATAGGGAGAGAAGATGATGATTTGCCTTTTCTTTTTTCTTTCCTTCCTATGAGCTGTGTTTCTGCCTGTCTTCCTGCTCAACATAGAGAGGGTCCATGAACTTGGATGAGAAAATATATCTTTGTTTTTCATGCAACTGAAAAGATTTAGCACTCTATTCAACGATGAGGGTAACAAGCCACAGTCGTATTAGCAGTATCTGAGGCTTTGTCACCAGCTGATGTCATAGATATTTTTATATCACATTATAGTTATTAAAAATAGTTTGGGTCAGGCTCAGTGGCCCAGCACTTTGGGAGGCCAAGGCAAATGGATTGCCTGAGCCCACAGGTTTGAGACCAGCCCGGGAACTTAAATAAAAATAAAAAATTAGCCGGGCATGGTAGTGCGTGCTTGTAGTTCTGGCTACTTGGAAGGCTGAGGCAGAAGGATCGCCGGATCCCAGCAAGCTGACACTGGGGTGGTCATGAGTGTGCCACTGCACTCTAGTCTGAGTGTCAGAGTGAGACTGCAACTCAAAAAAATTTAAAAAAGGTAGCTTGAAGTGCCCTTTCCACTCATTGTACTTTGGAATGACCGTAGTTAATTAGACCCATTGTTATATCTTGCTATTTGTTGCATTAACAAATAAATATATGCAACATTTTATATATTTTATATTTTGATAACTTTATTTCAGCATAATTAATCTCCGTTGTAATTCTATCTATGCATTTTTATTTTATGCCTTTCAAACATTCTGAGAAGAGGTCCACAGGCTTCAACAGATTGCTACAGCACTCCACAGCACACAACAGGCATCCTCTGGCTACACAGTTGTCTCCTGGTGTCCTGACGTTTGGTCGGTGTCCAGTGGGGCTGGGGGTGATCAGAGCAGGTGGGGAGAAAGCTGACTACCGCTGAAGCCTTTAGGGTTTCAGAAAAGGCTGATGGTGCGAGATGAGATGCTGCCCACTAGTGGCCGGAAGGCAGAACTGTGAAACAGTGTACAGGGCAGGCACTCGGCACCGGGTTTGGAAAGGCTGTAGCTAGGTTTCTTGGAACTTAGGTCTGAAATGAGAGAATATCTAAGGGGAGTGAGTGGTTTGACCCCTGCCTACCACTTCAGCCTCATCGATTGAACCTCTCTCCCTTGTTCTCTGTGCTCAGCCATTTTTGCCGTCTAGTGTCCCAGAAGCTTCCTTCTGTACTAGGGTGTTTCTTTCTTTTCTTTTCTTTTCTTTTTCCTTTGGAGTCAAGGTTTCACTCTGTCGCCTAAGCTGGATTGCAGTGGCACAATCACAGCGCACTACAGCCTCAACCTCCTGGGCTCAGTTGATCCTCCTGCCTCAGCCTCCCTAGTAGCTGGGGCTGCAGGTGTGCACCACCACACCCGGCTAATTTTTATATTTTTTGGTAGAGATGAGCTCTCACTATGTTTCCCAGGCTGGTCTTGAATTCCTGGGCTCAAGTGATTCTCCTGCTTTGGCCTCCCAAATTGCTGGGATTACAGACATGAGTGAGTATGGCCGGCCTGCACTAGGGTGTTTAAACATGCTGTTAATCTCTGCCTAGACCGGTTCTCCCATCTCTTCAGCTAGATGACTAAGCTCCCTCTCTGCATCTCAGGGTATCTAGGTCAGGGTTCTTGATAACTCTCATTTCAGTTGGTAACTACAGTGTGACTATCACTGAACTAGACTACACAAACTCCCAAGAGCAAGGCCTTTTGTTTTCTGTAGTATCCCCAGTGCCTGTCCAGTGGCACTCAGTGAACACTTATTGGGAAGAGTGAATTTTAATGGGAAAATTCACAAAGGAACTGTGGATGCTAGCAGAATGGCTCTAGGACCCCACCCCTCAAAAGCAAGAGGGTGTCTCCATTTATGACAGCCTGCTCCCTCTACACTTCCTGCATGCCAACTCATGATCCAACTATAGGGGGAATCCTCAGGACAGCACAGCAGAAGAATATTGCAAAATTGACAGACTGGGAAAGCACACAGCCTGTACTTAGATCCTGGCTTTGATGTGCTCTTCCTCTGGTTTTAGTGTCTCTGTCTATAAAATAGTGAAAATGATAGTACCTGTGGCATAGAATTGTGAGGAATGTGAAACGAGGTGACCTACATAGAGCCCTAGCACATAAGTGCTGATCAAATGGTAGCTTAAAAAAAAAAAAGAGTTGACTGGGCATGGTGGCTCATGCCTATAATCACAGCACTTTGGGAGGCCAAGACGAGAGGATCACTTGATCCCAGGAGTTCAAGAGCAGCCTGGGCAACGTAGTGAGACCTCACCTCTACAAAAAAAAAATCAAAAGAAAAACTAGCTTGGTGGCATGTGCCTGTAGTTTCAGCTACTCCTGAGGCAGTGGTGAGCTGTGAGCTTGCCACTGCACTCCAGCATGGGCAACAAAACGAGACTCTGACCCCCTCCCCCGCAAAAAAAAGAAAAGAAAAGACAACCAAGTCTGAGGGATAGTTATTCTAGCTACTCTCTTGCGAACCACTGGGTTTAGAAAGAAAGGGAACCCTTGCAGCAGGACTGGGCCTAGCTCCAATTCTTCTCTCTGCTCTGTCTTGGTTGGAACGTTCACAGGAGCTGCTGAGAAGCAGAACTAAGAGGCGGAGGATTCCTCCTTGCAGGCGACGGTTCTCCCCTTGTGTGTCGCATCTCTATCTCCTCCTGTGGCAGCTCAGTCCTGGAGAGCCAAGGCAAATGGGTTTAAAACCTGCTGTCCTTGAAGAGAAGACTGTGGTTAGAACTATGATTTCTTTCTGATCGTTCTGCATATTCACATTCCTTCCTAACTCTTGCTCCAGAGAATCATAGTCAAATTAGATTACTTTGGCTTAAGATGGAGTTGTGACATTTGCAATATGCTTGGCACAGAATCTGGCAGGTCTTTGTGCCCAATAAATATCAATCATTGCTATTTCTCTGTCAGAAAATAGTGAATTGTCCCAAAAGTGCAAGCCGGGTCTGCTCTCCTAACTTACAGAACATCTGCCAAGCACCCAGCACAGCATCTGGCACTTAAAGGCTTCCAAGGTATGTGCATTAAGAGGATAAGCGAAAGAACATATGGGCTGCTAAACGCTTATTTTCTTCTTCCAGGACGAATGGGCTTGACTACGCCTGGCTGCCCGTGGTCCTGCACAGTTGCCACTAGAGGGTAGCAGCAGGTAAGACAACAATACCCAGGAGCAGTCAGATCCAGAATGACTGGGTTGACAAGAGAGGATGGTGGAGGGAGAAAAATGTCGAAAGGGCTGAAGAAAAAACAAAAAACTAGTTATTCTATAGCTCTTGGGGACCAAATGGAAGAGGATGTGAAGACAGTAGAATTGAAGTTAGACTTAAAGAACTTCCAGAACATAGTTTGCTAACTGGAGCAGTAGAGCTTTTATACAGGTTTTTTTTGTTTTGTTTTGTTTTTGGCTTCTTAGCTACATCTGCCCAAACAGAAGAGATGAGAAAAAGGGCTCATTCAGTCCAAGGCCTTTGTGACCCCCCACTAGGTCCCCCTAAAGTGACCTTCCTGTAGTCTGCTTTAAATGACTCCATTCTGGCAGATGCAATAGTAAAATAACTTTATTGGTCAGGTTAGCCACCACTCATGCTTTTCCTATAATAAGGATCCTTTATAGAGGCATGATGGTGTCCACATGCAGATGCTTTCTCAAGAGCCCTGGGCAGGAGGCAGCCTTGCCCCCCGCATCAGTGCTCCTTTGTTGAAATGAGCTGGTTTGGCTTTTGAGGATTTCAGGTCTGGAGCTAAAAACATAGTCCAAGGGTTCCCCTCCCTTCCCAGGAAAACTGCTTCAGAGCATATGCAGCACCAGGGATAGAATGGCATCTGGGTAGGGGCTCTATGTAGGCTGACTCTCCTCCACCAGCCCTGGCCCCTGGCTGCCCTGGTGAGTTATGCCACAGGTGACATTACCTTTTAGAAGTGGGAAGCATGAATGGCTCCCGGCCAAGCTATACAGCTATAAAGCATCTGTAGTAATGAGGGTGCAGCTCAGAGACGTGAAAGCAGAGGGTTTCACGCCCAGCACAGGCAATATTTGACAGCCTGGCCTGGGCTTCACGGACCCCAGCGAGCATCTCCAGCCAGAGCCAGGACTTCTAACTCTGGCCTTAAGACAGATCAGGTAACATAGATGGATGGCATCTTTCTATGGCCTAGGAAGTCCAGGGCTGGCGGGAGTCTGTCTCTACCATCAGGATCCAGAACCTTTCTGCTTAGGGAAAAGGAGAGGACAAGCTATTTTTTCTCATGCTTTGGAAACCACACGGCCTCTGCCTTTGAGGAAGAGGACCCCGTAGGGTGCTGTGGGGAATGCAGAGAGGGCGGAGCAAGCATGGGACCACTGGGGCTGTTTCCTCAACTCAGTTCAAGGCGTGTTTGCCCCAATGTGGATGCGGTTGATAAGCAAAGTCTGGCCTCCCCTCCTTTGATGTCTGATCCCATTTCTTTAAGTCTAACTTCTCTGAGCTACCAAGCTGCTAAAATATAGCCACATCCATTTATCTAAGCCTGAGGTGGGTTGTCTCTTCCTGCATCAGGCCATGGACACTATCATCATCATGCTGCTGACCACCGATCTGGTAGCTTTCAGGGGGTGAGGTTAGGGAGGTGTAGAGGTGACTCCTGTGGCCCTTAAACCTCGGACAAAAGTGTGGGTTCTCTCCACAGGTTGCTGAGCAGATGCCCACATGCTTTGAGGTCTCCTGACCCTGCCTAAGACATAGAAAAGGCATCCGTGGTGAGGTGGATTGAAGAGGAGGCAGTCGGGCAAGAGGTATGTTTTGAGAAGTAACAAGTGGGAGCCCAGCCCAGCACATGGGGAGAGCCGTCAAGTGCGCTGCTTGCAGAGAATCAGGGATTGCTGGGGAAGTACAGTCATGTGCGATCGCCCAAGCAACTTGCAGAGTTCCACAACATTAGATCATCGGGAAGAATGTAAGAGTAGTGAGATTTCTGGGGCTGGGACTTCCAGAGATTATTCCCCCTGCCATCACTTCTGTCCCTGGAAAAGGGAGAGCTTCTGCCTATGTCTTCAGCAGAAAGCTGCCTGTCCCTGACCTCATCTAATCCTGTCTACAGGGAAGAAGACTAAAGAGGGAGCCGTGGACTTCTGTCATGGGGTCTGTCCCAGACCTTCCAGCAAAAGCCAAACCAAACCATCAAGCCAAATGCAGTGGGGCCGTGGGGGCTCTCCGCCCGGCACCCGGTGCCAGGGCTGCTCAGATCTCGATGAGGCTGGCCAGGCGCAGGCAGAGGGGTGCGTCCACCGGCATGGCGCTGCGCTTGATCTCGTTTCCGTCCAGGCGCAGCACCTGCAGTTTGGAGAAGTTGACGACGTCCACCACGGTGCAGAAGCTGCTGATGGAGAACTCTGTGGGGACAAGAGGAGCAGGGATAGGAGAGAGAAGCCCAGATTAGGGACCCGGGTCCACGGTGAAGCTGCTTAGGTAAAGACTTCTGATGTCAGGGGTGGACATTGAGGATTGGGGGTGGCGGTAGACGTTTTTCCGAGATGGCGTCACACCGACTGGCACCACTAGAGGGCAGAATTAGGGACAGAGTGGGGCTGTGCCGGTATTTAGAGCTCAGCCTCCTAGCCCACCCCCTACCCTCCAACCTGTACTTTGCTCTGCAGACCCCTGAATGTCTTTCCCTCTAGGACGTGATTTTTTAAAAAAATGTGGGCAGCAGGGGGAAGCAGAGGGTAGCCAAAGACAAACCAAAGACATGGAAGCACTTGCTTGCTTTTGGTGAGGGAGGGCTTTGCTGGATTGCATGAAAATGAAGACAGGGCAGTGGGGGGACTTAAACCTCAAATATCTCCTGCCACTTTTCAGATAGGAAAAGTGGCAGGAAATTAAAGAGAGAAAGCTTGGACCAAGAGACTAGAGTCTTTGGTGCCAGAGCTTTGAGGGGGTTGCACATCTCCATTTCGAGTCCTGCCAGAAGGGTGAGCAAGGCTTTGAATTTAAAGGAGGCTGGAAACCCCTAGAGTCCTGAGGCTGCTATGCACCTCAAAAGCCAGAAAATTCCCCTGCCTCCCTCTTTTGATTTGGTTACTACCCCCTCCCCTTATTTTGAAATCTCCAAAGAAGTCTCCTTTTTGGAAGATTTTCCCCCTAAACCCAGGAATCCTAATAGAAACCATAGTTCTGTTTGGCTTTTGACATCAGCCCTTCACTGTTGTTTGCCCTGATCATCCTCTGGTTGTCTTCTGTGGCACATTAATCACTCCTGTCTCCAATCTACTGGACCAGTAACTTGATAGGAAAAGCCAAGACTTGGTTCAAAGTCTAGCAAGGACAGCACAGGTCACCACCAAGAGCGGCCGAAGCCTCTCAGGGATGCCCTCGACATGGCGAGTGAGGGTCTCAGGAAACTTGCTCTTGTCATTCTCTGCAAAGGGGGTTTAGAAGACACTACCCATGGGGTCTTAAGGGTAGGATCATGCATGAGCACAGCTCTAGCAGCTGTCACACTCACATGGGCCTGGAACTGGGGATTACTTTTGTCACACCAGAGGTGTCCCTCAGGTTGGTGGTCAGGAGCTGTGCTGTCTGGAGCCAGGCAGGAGGAATGGGAGGAAGGCTTTTCTAACTCTCTTCTTAGTGGTGACTGTGGGGGGGGGGGGGACTTGGAGGAGGTTATGGGTATGAAAAGGAAGGTTCCAGTGAAGACATTTGGAGAGTTTAAACAGGCTGATGAAGAAAGTGTTTTAAAATTGACATTATCAATTGTTTTCAGTCTCTGTTAAGAACTGGCCAAGATAAGATGGAGTGAAGTTGCAGTAAATTAACTTGTATTGCAAACATAAGACAGAAAATCCAGGCCTAAAGAATAGACACCAGAAATAGAGGGGAGATTAGAAAATACCCTTCATTGGAAATCACTCGCAGAGGGGCAGAAGATCTGGAATGCTTTGGGATGTTTCCTTTCTGGTACTAAAGGCTAGATTAAGTGGTCTCTGAGTGGGCAACTTGGGGGCAGAGCCTAGGCCAGGGACTGGGTTTATGTTGTCTGTGTACACGGAGAAACAGCTAAGCCGCTTGACTGAAATACCACTCCCCACCCTATTTGAGACTGAGCTAAGGGCTCAGGAACAGAATCTCTGTCCCAGCCTGGAGCCCTCAGATGGTCTGCTGAAATCCTGGATCCCAGCTGTGGAGACATAAATACGGGGCTTTCTTCATGCTTGTGGGGAGCTAGACACATACGGTATATAGATTCCAACCACACACCGGGCACTGGGATCCCCCCTGCCCCGCCGCCTGTCATTCCCAAGCCCATGAATAAGATAGGTCTTCTGCTTGGGGGACATTTTTCTTACCCAGATGAAATACTGACATAAGTCTTTCCAAATTCCTACTGGTATACCCGCCCTGCTCCACTGGGTCCCAAATAACATTCCGAGCTGTGTTTCCAGCTCTTGCCAGGCTGGAAAAACTGAGGGAGATGCTGAGGGGAGAGGGAAGGAGGAGGGAGAGAACCAGGGCTTACTCCCTTGCAGGCCCTGTAGCTCCTGTTCTTCTCCGAGCTCCTCCCTAGGATGGCTTTGATCCCACCTTCATCACTCCGCATCCCCAAGCTCCTGACTGGCTACGTGGGGCAAGGGCTGAGCTTAGGGAACTGCTTTCCTGCTAGGGTCTGAACCGGAGAGATGTTCCTCACCATTCTCAGTCAGAGACGCCTGGCTCTGGGTCCTTTAATATTGACGGCAGAACGTCGGGGCTCTATACTACATAGTCTGGGTGACCTCGAGAAGTGGCTTTTTCCTCTGTGTGTCTTAGTTTCTTCATCTTTGCCATGCAAACAACAACAACAAAAACTGTGCCTGTCAAGTTCAAAGTGGCAATGAGAAGAGAGACTAATAATAGTTATCACTGGTTTTTAAATTCTGCACCAAGCCGGGCTCGGCGGCTCAACCTGTAACCCTGCGCCTTTGGGAGGCTGAGGGAGTGGATTGCCTGAGCCCGC